ACTACGTACTGTTACGGGTTGGAGATAATTTCGTTAATCTCACAATTTTGGTAAAGCTCGCCTGCCCGATTCCGTTAGTCTATTTTATTTTCTATGCGGTGTTATATTTTAATTTCTATTTTTATCTCGCTTTTGTTTTCAATTTTGTTTTCGATCCTTAATTATTTTTAAGTTCTCTCTTAAATTCTCTTAAAAAATAGTATGCATTATGTGTTAAATTCTAGAATAATACTTCACAATGTAATCAAAAAGTTGTATACACATTCCTTAAGGACATTAATAAAAATTCAGAATTATAACGTACAATTCTTCTCGCTTGTTAGGTTTTATTAATCTCAGAATTTCAGCAAATATGGTTACGTAATTGACTCACGAGATATTGTGCAAAACGTAAATTTTGCTGAATTGATTATACAGACGAAAAATGATTAATTGAAGCATACGAAGATACCAAATCTTAAAATATACTAAATTTATACATTTATAAAAAAATACTAAATCTTATTATCGTTATTGAATTGCATGCATGTACATGTATCTAAATTCGGAAAATCATCAAAATTACACAATATCTCGTGAACATTTTTTATTATTAGCATTTATCGTATTAAAACTTGACATTTTACGTCCAAAGTTCACGAAATTTAAATAATCATTTGTGTCCAAACTGTCCAAAAATTCTACTATGCTATGTTATATATTTCAATACGGTGAACAAGTTTACACAAAGAGCCGTTGTATTAACGTTAATGAAAATCGACTTTTTATAGTTGATCGCCAGGTGTCCTTATCGTTATCATTATACAGTACTTTTGTCGATTACTGTAAAATAGACAGCAAGTTATTAGTTTCAAATTTTCCTTACGTCATTATATCAATTTTTTTCATTATTCTAGGAATAATAATTTCTAAATATCAAGATATTTAGTTGCAATAATCTGGAATATACCGTAATGTTCCGAAATTAAGCACCACCATTTGCATATTACCCAAATATAAGCATCACCAGATAAATTAGTTTTGGGATAAAAACTTTTCGAACCTGTTATTTATCCAATTTAATCAACGTCAAACCAAGTTTGAAATGACTTGTCGCTTTATTTCGTTCATATTAGCATAAGCAACAAATTGTTTTTTTTATGCTTAATAGAATATGAAATACGATTACGTTTGATTGTTTTATGTTTGATATTTTTTTTTACATTTAGTAACTTGCGACATTATTTGTGTAAACAAATTAAAATTCGTGAAGCTCAAACAAAAATTTAAAAAAGCAAACCAAAATTAAGCACCATAACAAACAGGGTGTTAATTAATAAAAGAATTTTTTAATACAAACAGAGGGTAATCAAAATTATGCGGACACTTTGACCACCATTAGCGAGAATAACAACCTGGATTCGATTAGACATATTTTCAATTAATTTTTTATAATATTCAGGTGGTAAATCATTTTTAACATAACGTTCAAGTTTCGAAAAACTTGATGGAGATGGAGTTCGTCGACGTACCATGGTTTTCATCTCAGTCCAGAGGATTTAAATCAGAACTTTACGCTAGATAAGACTAACCACAATTGTGATCATAAATAATGGCACCGCGTTTTTTTTGGATAGATTGGTTTCATTTTTTAAAGGAAAAAACGAATTTTCAAACCAACGATATCTATAACGTATTATAAAAAACTAAAACGATCTATCTGTATTTATTTTCTCTTTAAAAATGGAACACAAAAGATCTAATTTAGGTGTCATAATTTTGATCGCCTCCTGTAATTGATCATTTCGAGAAAGATATTTCCTTGCGGCAGTTATAAAAGAGTGATCGATATTTCAAAATAATAAATAAAGTCAACTCTTCTAAACGTAATTCGCCGAGATCATATGACTAATCAGAGATGTGATGCATTTAGAGAGAAATTGCATTTATAGAGAGTATATATTTAAAGTTCTTATAAGCTTGTGACTGAACAAGAGAGAGGACATATGGCGTACATTATGGAGGTTACATATAGGAAGAATACATAGTTAAACAGAAGTGGCAGAAAATTTTATTTAGTAAATTCAGTTTAAAGTCAGGCGGGTTTATTATAACTGTTCCTGAACCAACTTTGATTTATCAGACAGGTTTACTATAAATATTGGAACTAAATTCATTTATTAAATTTTAATTAGTGCTTCGGTTTAACGGGTTGACTGTGTGCATCAGTTTCATTTCTTTACACAAGTTTTAAATTTGAATTCATATTTAAAAAAGCTGATATGTGTGAACACGGTCTGGAACGGGTCTAGAGCTTTTTAGAAAAGACTGAAGGACCGTTATCATATAATATATTTTTATGTAGTTACATAATGCATTGGAAAAAAGTTATAACGGGAGACGTGATGCGAAAAAGTAAATGAGTATAGAGAGACGTGATGCGAAAAAGTAAATGAGTATAGAGAATATGCATGTGAAAAAGCTTTGCGAGACTGGGCAATACTATGCCATTTTATGGGTGTTTTACGATATCTCTTAAGTTCAGTCATCATCGACCTGGGAACCATAGTTCGGTATTATGCGAAACGTATGTATGGACTTTTTTTACAATATTCATCTGAATCGATGTTAGATGCGCGTCTTTATTGTTGTTTGCATATAAATTATATGATTATCTGCGCGCCTTTGTTGCATATAAACATAACAGTAAATAATCATATAAATTATTGAGAGCAATAATTCATTCAAAAAGTCTTATCGTTCAAATCAGTTATTATAAATATTTCTAAATGTACGAATGCAGTGTTTATGATGCTTGACAAGCAATTCGACTAACCAATCAAACTCTTTAATAATCATACATTTGTCAATTCTAAACGATTATTTTTCAGCCAAAAATCGATTTAATCTTTAATGATTGATATAGCATTTTTCAAATCAAGTACCATCGAACCAATCAAAATTTAGCTTTATAACTGAACTGATATTTCTATATTCTTGCATTTGAATCAATGAATTTCAACAAGTATCAACAAAATTTGTGGATTTAGTATATTTGAGAAGCAAGAAGCAAAAAGCACTTAGAATACCATTACAGTCCACCCCGTTAATATAACACCGGTTACTGTGACATCCGCAAACTACTCTATCCAAACAACTATGCAGAGTAATTTATATTTATCGATACGTATTATGATACATTTATTATTTATTATTATAACTAAAACTCGATCTTTTAATTTTGGCTAAAATTAGACAAGCTGATCTTGGCAAATTACGTATGTACTGTACACGTATATAAAATACATGACGTACTAATTTATGTTTCTTAAATAGGTTTTTACTTGATGGTGGATATGACACTTACCGTTCTAGTTTACAACAGTTAAATAATGCTTTTGCTACTCTGGAAAAGGACAAAGAGTTTAGCAATTTTTCTAACAAACTAGTTTTGTCGGAGGAAGAAGCAAAAGTTAACATGTGCCCGATGTTAAACACACACATGGTTTATTTGTACCACGTAAATTATAGTGATGATCGTCATGATCAGGATCTTATTTGACTAAAACAGTTCCGACCAATTAACTATAAAAATTGGACTAGTGGAGAAGAAAAGTCTTATTTTCAAAGCAACAATAGGATAGTTGTTACTAAGGATAATGCAACGTAATGGAAAGGTAATAATTGTCTTGTCCTTGTTATAAATAGTCGACTGTCATCCTCATTTACATGTATCCGAAATTGCGACCAAACTTATGTGCTATGTATATCGATCTCTATGATCGGTCGGTTTTCTTTTTCCGAATTGGCTTAGATGCATATGTACAAAACGGTAATGAGAAAATTCCAGATACATACACAATTTTTTAGGACACAGAATCGAATTACCCAAAAAATTTTGAATTCAAATTTTTTTGAATTCCCTCTCCTAAGCTTATATTCTTTATTTACGATTTCAGAGTAATTGAATTTTCGCGGAAAAACGGCTATATCTGATATCGTAGGCGTATGATGGTTACTTTAATTGTTTCATGAAAAAGTGCTGTTGAATTTTATAAGCAAAAAGAGACTATCTATTGTCATATTTAAAGAACTCTGAAGGTTAGACTAAACACACGCATAATAGGGAATGTACATAATTTTTATGTACTGTACATAATTTTTATGTACTGTACATTTAAAAAAAAACTTGACCCATTTTTTGATTGTTTCATTATAGATTTCTAATTTTCCAGCACTGGATTTTCTAGATTTAAGCATTGTTGGCAACTTTATATTTCCAATTGTTTTGAATTGGAATTGGATCTATGTCTAACTGGTCCAATTGCCAATACCGGATTTAAGGACCAAGAAAAATTTAAGGGCCAAGAAAAACTTGTAGAATGCATAATCAGATACTTTAATACCCTTAAAAATTTCTCGGATAATCTAAAAAATCTAAAATTAGAATCCTTACTTTTTAAGACATAAAAGACCATTCATCTAAACTGCGTTACGTTCATACAATTCACATGGTAATTTAGTTTCTCAAAGGGTAATTAGTTTATGCTTTTGAAAGTGTTGAATTATCACATTCCCCTGTTTGAAACTTTGAAAGAATATGTGTAGATTGAACGTTCAAACGAAATTAGATTTTTTAAGAGCTTCCACAGAGAACATCAAACATCTTTGTCATCGCACTGTTTGTGTACGTTTATGGTGACAGTAACTATCGCATGCAAGAGGACAATATCACCTTGTAATCTCGCTTTCGCGCACTGAGAATGCTTTAATTGGAGCGGTTTAACCGCATTTACAGTGCAAATGCATGCAAATTAGGTGAAAAAAGTAATGCATATTTTCGGAAAACCAGACCGAAAAATATAAATATAAATTTTGCACATACAATGTATTAAAATTTTCAATTGTGTATAACCATAGAATATGCATAAATGAATATAAAATCACAATGCTTAGCGAGCACTCTGCATTCAAAAACGCCATCAAAATAATATCAAACAAAAATTCTATTAAATTTCAAAATGAGATCAATCGCACCAAGTAAGAAAGGATACACAATGCCAGAAGTTACAGTTCGTTTCCCTCCAGAAATCACACCAATGAACCTTATTGAGAAAGCCATAGCAAAACTAAAGACCAACGAACAAGCATCACGAATTCCCAACGCGTTTATCGCTTATCGCATGGCTTTTTGTAAAGAACTTCACTTAATCAGACATCCAGTGATAACACAACCACAACTTTCGGCGTTGGCCAAACAATCATGGCTCAACGAAGAAGAACACGTACGACGAGAATATCAACGCATTGCAAAAGAAGCCAAAGATTTATATATAAAAATTTGCCAGGAACGTAAACCATTTTTCATTACAAGTGAATATCAAAATAAGTCTTCATTTAATGACGATCATAATCCTTCCAATACGAAAGATGATAATTCTTCTTCCAATACGAAAAATGACATAGGCACAATAGAATTTGTGTTTTCGAATTTGAGTAACTTGAGTGACTCTAATTTTGACCTTTTTGATGACAACGAAATATCTTTATTACCATCATCTTCAAAACAACCTGTGACAAAAGAAAAACAATCAGATTCACATGAAAACATCTCTGCATCCACTACTCCAAATGTTACAAACATACTCGATACTGATTTTCAAAATATCACAAATATATTCAACACTGATTCTCCAATAATAAAAGCTGACAATTATTTTTCCTTAGACTTCAACTTAGACACTCAACTCATTGATAATCTAACACCGGAACTATTGACCTCTCAAGCTTTATTTTCTTCAATTCTATCCATTCAATCCGATTTCCCTTCTGTTCCGAACCTCGATAATAGTAATAGCAACAGTAATACTACTGCTGTTATTGCTAATAATAACGTAGAATCTTCAATAGTAAGTGACAATACTTTGTCTTCAGCTGAATATAATAAATGCTGTAAAGAGAAAATCGGCGTATTAGAAAATCGCGTTTCTAAATTAGAGAAGAAAATTGAGTCATTGACAGAGTTGGTTTCAAACTATTATATAGATAATATAATATAACCATAAATATATATCATTTGTATATGAATGTAATCGCCTACCAAAATATTATATAGATTTCTTCTATGTATTCTAAGTTTTCTGTAAATAGCTTTAAAACTCCAAATAAAATCAATGATATCATGTCTGAACCGACAAAAAAAATCGAAATGATGCCTAAATCTAACTTGAAGCACTAATCAACAAACAGTTACTACGGGTAGACACAGATTTAAAGGCATGCTATGAAAGATCTACGCTAACGCTAATAGGAAATCATTTAACGTTAATCCGCGAATTATTTTAGACGAATCACTGTCCAAGCTTTTTCATGTATGCAATTGTAAAATAGACATTTCTGAATTATAAATTTTACTGGAATTTTTGTATAAAAAAACTATTTAAATCACAATAATGTATTTGATATAATTAAAAAAAATTATGAGTCATTAACATATTGAAGTAATATTAAAGCAATATCAAAGTCAGTCAAAAAACATGCAAATATACTTCAAATATGCGTGCCCTTCAGCATAATATAAAGCCTTCAAAGGTTCTCGAACTTCATTTAAGCTATAAGCTGCACTATGGTTTGCAATGGGTTAATAATGAACCAAACCCAAACTGGGTTAATGACTCCAGTGCAATACTCCGAATTTTGCTCCATTAGCCACTCAGAATAGGGATGTTAATGGTTTGATTCAAAAAATACATGTACAATGGTCTCAAATTTATGAAAAAATTTTTCTTTGTTGCTGTCATTTTATTGGTTAAAATTTGTATAACTGTAATTCTATTGGTCGAATTCATGAAACCAGTTTGAAACCAAACCATTTTTGAATATTTTGATCTTATAACTAATGATAGTGAACCAAACAAAACATCATCCTTACTCAAAAGTATATAAAGGTATTTATTGTTGATCCTATGGAGCTACTATATGTTAAGTTATACAGTGCTCGTCAGAAATAACCTACCCCATAACTTTCCGTAGATCATGTGTAATGTACATGTACCAAAATTTTCTGAGCACAAAGAACATTCCAAATGCTGATCATTGATACATGTACTTTTTATAGATTGGTATAGCTTCTATATCGGGGTATTGTATGCTCATAATGGTAAACTGTCATTGCTCAAACATAATAATATTTCGACATCTAGTCATCCAATTTGAGCGAAATAACTACCGCTACTATTTGATTTGCCAAATCTAGGCAAATCAAATGGTGGTATTTTCGCTCAAATTGGATCACTAGACGTCAAGGTTCATATGATTGGCTGATGTAAATCAATTGTCGGAATTCTCCGGATACCTTATAAATAAAAAGTACTTTTTGAGAACGTCACGTTTCACTAAGAAAAAATCACCGTAAAAACCATTTCTAGCTTTAACGAATGTTAATAATTACTATGCAAAAGAATCTTCAAAGAATCCAAAACCTGACATACTTTACTTAGAAGGCAAAAACTTAATTATTTATTACTATTACCAACTCTATATATGTGCTGAAAACAGTCAACGAAAAAAGACAAGCAAGATGTTAATGTAAGTTAATTTTAAAGAAAAGCTTTATATACATATATCATTTATTTATAATTTTAAATCTAAATAAAAGTTAAGCTCGTTGGGTAATGTGTATAAATGCGAATAAATACAAGTGGTGTTGTTAATTATAATATAGGTCAAGGGTTGTAATGTGTCTAGTAAAGATAGTGATGACTGAAAAATAGAATAGTATTTACTATTTAAAATATAAATAACAATAAAGAGTAACGACAAAGAGCAACGGTAAAGTTTCGCTAATTTCTTTGATTGATTTGATTGGTCAATAATCATGCTTGGATCGACATAAATTAGCCAATCACATGAATGTCTTCCTATGTGGCCTCCTCCCCACCTCCAGGTAAGATCTTTTACCCAATCAAAATGCTTAATTTTATACTACTTAAGATCAAGCTCTACCCCACCCCTAAAATATTAGCCAACAAATGTCGCTGTCCTTAACCTTAACGTTAGGTATTGGTTAAAGCATGGTGGTCCGGTGATCTGTTCGAGAAACAAGCCAATAAGAATGCGTACATTTTTGATCAACCCGGAAAAACAAATTCGAAGCACGAACGTAAAGTATGGAAAATGTATGTTTTAATCTATCTTGGAGCACTAATTAAAAACGTCAGGGAGGTAATTTTACATATACTCTAACTCTCCACTCTAATCATAACCCTGATTCTAACGCTAAAAAATCAACCTTTAACACTGTGATAAACACGTATTACATGTCCACCACCAAATCAATTTTAGTAATTCAATGCTGTATAAGCTTTTTTTAAGTATGTAAACTTTTTTTTAGTAAAAACGTTTAATGATACAATCGTTTACAACGCTTATTAATGTTATTATTATTATTATTATTATTATCAATAAAACTCCATTCATTGTAATTAGAATTTCTGAAATTCCGTCAACATAAATATCTTACATTTCACTAATCATTTTCATCGAGTAATATTATCGTCAGGTTCGTTAACTTGATGTTCATTAAAATGTTGCAAATGTTCCAGCAAGGATTGAATGGTTCATCGACACCATCTTGTAGAAATAAAAGTCAATATAGGCATTTGGACCCGTTACTGCTATAACAAATTTTATGATACATATGGTCTCAAGCTAGAAATTTAATTGTATATGTATTAATAGGAAAAATAATAGAACAGTTAAAAAAAATGATCTAATCATGCTTCCAGTAAAAAGAAAGTGCATCATATTTTCTGAAAGCTAAAAATCAATAATTGATGCAAGACAATTTCTATCAAGATATCAAAATATTTAACTGATAATCTAAATTTCCACTTATCATTTATTATCTTCGAAAAATTAAACTATGCAACTATCTTGATTTGATAGAAAAGGTAAGAGTCGATAGTAACAATCGACTTCTATCATGAAAATCAAAGATAAAAATGAATTTGATAATTTAAAATTCCACAAAATTATCAATTGTCTTTCGACGAATATTAACTTTCAAAAATAAAAAAATCAATAATCCAAGACTTAAATCAAGAAAATTATTGATAATAAAAAATAGCATTCAATCAATACTAATAATACAATGATATAAATTAACCAATTGAATCCTCTTATTAAATTATAGTTAAAGAATTCTGTTATACTTACAGTCTAATAGGTAAAAAAATTGTCACTCAAAAAAAATCAGTGTCACTGGAAAATTTTATCGTGTTAGGTGGAGAATGAGTGGATAAATCTTCTCAAGCAGCTGATCTTTAGCTATATCAGCAATATGCTGTACTGTGTTCAAGCCTGTATTGACAAGGAAGAAGGAAATACTCGATATTAATATTTATGTGGGCATGTTACCCTATTTAATCACATTTCATCAGAAATAATTTTTTTTTGTGTTTTATTATTTAAATTTTTTTATTTTTGAAAAAATTCGTCCACCATTACTTTCCATGCTGAGTGTATAGTACGACTTCATGTAATCCTTCTTTTAATAATGCAAATATTCATTTTTGTTTTGGTCTTGATTTATGTTTCTGAATTTTTTCTAAGAAAATAATATCTAAAATTTGAGTGATCAACTAAAGCATTCTTTCTTTGTATTATCATTATGCCAAATTGTACATGTAGTTGGTTCTAAAACAGAAAAAATGTATATCATCTTGAAAGACGTGATCCTCTACACCAATTCATTTCAAGAATTAAGTATTCCTTCAACTAAGAGTAAAAAACTTAATTTAACATTGCAAAAACGTTGTTATTTTTAAGAAATCTTTGATTTTTCTATACATTAAATTTCTAGAGTCACTATTGAAAAGTTCAAATCTTGATTCATTATTTCAAATAATAATTTTTCCATTTTGTAAAATGGTTTTCTTATTTATAAAGTAACTAAAGGTTGTTTTATAATCTTCTTTATGAAAGATTCTTTGTATTGTTCTAGTGAATACTGAAATATCCATGTAGCATTAAAGTTTTCAGTAATTTCTTATTTATGTCTACCAGAATGTGGTGCCGCATAGCCAAAACTTGCTCATTATATTTTATTGTGTAAAATTGCCTTTCCATAGACTAACAATTTCCCCGTGTTCAAAATCAGTAAGTTCCGGTCTTTTAGGCATCGTCTGTTTAAAAATTAAAAGAATTAAATACATGTAATTGGTTGTGAAAATAGGTACGTACGGTATTTGCGTAGATCGCATAGATATAACGATAAGATATGCATGTGCTACAGTAAGTACATGTACATGCAACAATAAATCATGTTCGTAGTTGTTGATTACAAATTCCGAATTGGATAAAATGACTTCTCATACATAAAAATCATTTACATGTATCAATAACGTTTTAATTTTTAAAGTCAAAACATGGAAAATGAAGAAGAAACTCAAAATTTATCAAACCTCCTCAAAAATCTTTTACAACAATTCTCTTCGGTCACAAATCCTGGCGAGAAAGATGAACACCTGCAAGAATGTGTTCAAAACTGGTTCTCTCAACACGAACGATTCACCGAAATTCAAATATTCGAGCACCTAAAACAAATCGCTCGCAATGATCACGATTACGCATGTCTACTAGGATTCTTTTATGATAAAGCATTCGGAACACCAAGTAACCTAGATAAAGCATTCAAATGGTATCTACGAGCTGCTGAACATAATGACGCATTCGGTCAAAATATAGTCGGGTATTTCTTTATGCATGGGTATGGCACAAAACTCAATTATGAAAAAGCTTTCTATTGGTATCAAAAATCAGCGGATAACGGTTGTAACCAAGCTAAATGCAATATCGGATACTGTTATTATTGTGGATTTCATGTAAAGAGAAATCGTAGACATGCGCTTTATTGGTACTCTAAAAGTGCAGAGATGCATGATGGATTAAGCAAGTGTGAGTTGGCAAGAATGTTTTTGTGGGGTATGGGAACGAATGCTGATGTTCATCGTGCCTTGAAGTTATTTCTGGAGGCGAAAAATTTGGCATTCGTGCAAGTAGATGATTATATTTGTGAAGTTTTTTATTAAATTATCTTATAGAATTGTTAATCAAAAACTATTTTGATGCTTATTAAGGTTAAGCATTCTTGAGATACTGTTTTTTATTGATATATTTTTTTTATAAAAGTAAGTATTAAATTAAGGTTTACTTTGGAGTGCTTTTCTAGAAATGTTTATTACTTCACAAAACTTTTCAGAAAACAATTATCATTAATGGGTTCAATTTGAAACATTACCAAGATAACGTAATGCATTTAATAATATTATCATTTAATGCAACTAAATCCAGTTTACACTAATGCTCGTAACATTTAATGTATTATTCATTTTTGATTCAAAACGTAAATAATCTCAGCTTCTGTTTCAGATTTTTTAAAGACAATAATATAGTGAATTTGAAACTGGTTTACTCAAAAGAGAATTCACAGAAATACAAACTTTAAGCAACTTAAATAAATCACAATAATTATGCCTGTATGTTATGATATCTCTAAATTTACGAAACACTTGGAAGCAATTATAAGCTGCAGAACTTATGATCCACTTGGTCGGATATTTCTACAATATATATTAAATTATGAGAAAGCTTTTACTAGCACAAAGTGGCAGTTGCAATACGAAAACCAGTCGCAGATATTACATTTTGCATGGAATTTGTGTAAAGAGAAAAATTATAACTATACGTTTTATTGGTATTCTAAAAATGCAGAGATAGGTGGGGAAATCAATATGCATGGTCGGGCCTTGAAATTAAGGATGCTCGCATTTATAGTGAAGATTTTCGTTGCCGATGTTAACAATTCTGAAATTGTGTAGTTCTATATCGATATTAGGAGAGCCAAAGATTATACAATAAATTGTTATACTAAAAAAAATGTGAACCTGTTTATTGTTGCCAGTAGAAATACGAAAAGTAATATTCAGGAATCTCACAAAGATAAGCATTATTCAATCAGACCAATTTATTGGGAAAATTCGTTAACTACTTGTATATAACTTCAAGTTGGATATGATTCGGAAATTTCTGGTTATGCCGACCATAACATTTAAGTACATATGCATCGTGTTTACACCATTAGGAATCTAAAGTACAGAGCGTTGCTAGGATTTTAATTTCGCAAACTAATGAAATCGTAGAGCATCATTTGTATAGTTATTTGAGCAAATCGTTTTATTACGAGTTTTTTGTTATTTACACACAAATAGTTCTGTCTCATTTTTCATGCATATCGTCACTGAAATCGTTCTATTCTATGAAGACATGACTCACGAGTAAAAGAATGACCGATATTTATGTTATTTGTCTATATATCGTGAAATTTTCCGAGTTATCTTATATTTATACAAAAATGCCATCAGTTTGCATAAACAAATTTTGGACAAATATACGTTTATTTGCCTTGCATTAAAATGATGGCACTTCACTTTTGTAAATATATTTCTATGCTAATTGACAAATGCCAGGCAAATATCAGCCATTCTTTTTTCATAGGGTCTTTTGACACACATAAACATACAAATGAAGTCAAGATAAATAACCTTTCTATGAATATATACCATACCGATACTGATACTTCTTTGCTCGATCATACAATACTTATTAACGTAGGACTCAATCTGAATGATACATGTACATGGATATCAATGTTGTGTGCTTCTGTGTCATTTTTATGCATAGTGTTACGTATCACATAACGATAAATCGATTTACACATATCGATATTGATATCGATATCAATATCAATATCAATATAAATTAATACAGCTATAACGAACTCATAGTTCTGTTAGTATGTAAAAAAAGTTCGTTATATAAAATCACTATGTTTTCTATAGAGCCCACTATTCTTTTTACGTATAACGAACTAATATAAAATTTTAAGGTTCGTTATATCCAGAGTTCGTTATAAATGGGTTCGTTATAGAGGGTCGACTGTAAAACATAACACATAATTACTAAGTGAATTCAAAAGATGGTATCTAAAATTTGAATACTCGTACATAAAATCATGAATATTGTGAATTGAACACTCATCACAATACTTAAGTATTTACAATCGCCACAGTTATTACGACAATCATGAATATTGTTAACTGAACACGCTTTGCAGTAGTAATCCCCCAACATTCACTATAATCATGAGAATTCGAAGTTTTAGATGCCAGCTTTGAATTTATGTGCGAAAGTTTGTATCGATTTATACATGAAAAATGATAACATGCATTAAATAAAAAGAAGAGTAAACACAATATGCATTAAATGATGAGATAAAAGAAGAGTATCATGAATAGAACGCATAAAAAAGAAGGCGCTTATAACTTTTATTGTGTAATCATAATCTTTTTTTAATACATTTATAATAGTGATCCGTTTAATACGTACGTGTTTCGTGAGGTATATGTATTTGAAATTGCATTCAAAAATTTACTTCTTATCTTCCTACATCTTCTTTATTTAAAGCATATCAATTATTTGACCCTTCTTAAATTTGTTTTGGTTTAGTAAAAAAAAGAATTATTCGTTATTCATGAATTAGCTGAATCTTCAGAAGAGTTATTACAGGGATGGACAATTTATTGTAGTAGGTTGTCAAAGGTGAACGAAGTCATGATATACACCTTGTTTGCGACATCTATAGTAGACTACGACCTACGATACCAAATAATGTTTCTAAATTATCCAAGTTTATTATAGTAAGATGTTGGGATCCTTTTCCAGAAAACAGACCAACTGTGCGGGAACTTTGACTTTATCTACTCTATCGAATATGAAGAGACGACATAGTTGCATACTTTGCATTTTCAGTATTACAATCCTTTAGAAGATCCTAAGATAAATGAAGAAATTAAAGTGCGTCTCAAACTAGAAAGCAGAAATTTAGATAAACTCGATAAGGAGATGTAATTAAAAAAATGTATTCCTACGAATATGAACAAAAAACAAACAATCCACTCAAATGCAGTATTTTTTTATTTCTAAATATAAATCATATTGACATCTCATATCAATTAATTTCATATCGAATGTTTAGAATGTCAAGTGTCAGTTTGTTTGTTCCAAATGAAGGTAAACTTACCAATACTTTTTCAAATTTACAAAGAAGTTAGTTATTTAGTCTAACAATCACCCATCACAATCTGTAAATAAATCTTGACTCAACATTGAAAGAGTTATTGCTTCATCTATGGTGCATAACATCTAAAGTCATCAAACATTTGTATTTATAAAATGTATAAACTTCTTTACTAAGAAGTAAATACAAAATTTAATCCGTGAATATGCTCAGAAAGAGCCTATTCTATCATATTCATAAATTAAAATTTATATTTACTTCTTAGTAAAGAAGTTTATACATTTTTAAAATACAAATGTTTGATAACTTTAGATGTTATGCATCATAGTCTAATTAAAAAGAGCTTACTCACTTTTCATAAAAATCTGAAGTATTAATGCCCTTTTTTATGCTTCAAACGCTGTTTCAATTGTTTTTATTGTTACATGTACGTATTATTCAATGCAATAATCATTTTTTGTGAAATCTTAAAAGAAAAGGAATTTTTGTGAAACCTTGAAAAGGAAAGGATTATTGCTATATTTCATTTTTTGTGAAATCTCGAAAAGAAAAAAATTATTTTTATTATGCCACAAAATATTTCACCAAAAAAGCAAAGTATTTTTGGTAATATCCATTTTTTATACATTTCACAAAAAAAGAATTATCATATCGATATTACATGTATCCGTTTTTTACACTTTAGACAAATGTTTCACCAAAAAAAGGAAAGAATTTTTGTTATCCATAGAGAATCATAGATGCAATTTCTCATAACATAAATTATGCTAAGAAAAGTCAGTTTGTATTAGAATGTCTGACAATGATATCATTAGAGTTGCGTTGAGTATTATTAATACGGAGCTGAAAAATAATTAGAATATCTGACAATGATATCATATCATTAGAGTTGCGTTAAGTATTATCAATACGAAACTGAAGAATAAAGTAACATCTTGTGACAGGAATCGATAACTCTAAAAATTGACAATGATTTACCATTCTGATTTGAAAATAAAAAACTTGTTTCTCTAAATCAACACTTTTCACAAATTAACTGTATGTTTGTTAGAAATATTTGATTCCGTTGTTAGAACTAATTACAATTATCTAACCATATGATTTGATTATTTTAAGTAAATGTCTTTATCAATTAACTCTTTCTATTGAAGAATCAACCAAACTAACTGTGATGAATCTGATAAATCACCATGATCAAAAACAGCTGGATAATTTTTGAAGAGATTATGAAGTGCATCTACATTTATGCATCAACATGTTAAACCAAAGTTAAAGAGATGAGAGCTACCAAGTGAGGTTAAGCTTTTCTTCAAAATATTAGAGAGAATAGCTTGTGAAAATTACCAAAGCCTACATTCTAATTATATCTAATATATTTTTACCAAAAATTATAATATTTTAAAAAAGTTTGTTTAATATTAGCTTTACTTTTATATTATATAATAGTTATTTTCACTTTTTTAATAATTATAAAAAAATTATAGTTATTTATAAGTTAAAATAAGCAATTTTAAAAAATTTTTAAATTTTAAAAATATTTTACAATAAAATTATAGAATTGATTACAAAATAAATTATTTCTAAACAGTTTGAATTTAATTTTGAAAATATCAGTTATATTTAGAGTTGGATTAGTTCTACAAAAATCAGTTCATGAATCAGTCTTGAAATCAATCTTACAGTTCTCAGTTTTCAATTTTTGGAACCAGTTCAGACTGGTTCTAATATATAAATTTTATATTTTTAATTTATGAATAATATGTTTGTAATTTTGTCAATGTAAAGTTCTAGAAAAATTAATTTTATACAAATATTTAGACTACTTTTAAAATATTTTTTATAGGAATAAATTAGTCTTAGTTCAAAAGATCACACAATTATTTACTTTTTTTTATGTATTATATATATATATATCTAATTGTTCATATATATTACTCTTTATTATTTAATATA